TAGGCGGGGGGGGGGGTTGGTGAATAATAATTATCCACTTTATATAAATCATGAAGATGATAAGTTTTAGAAATTAAGATATAAATAATCAATAGAGTAATTAAAGATGATTAAAAATGATAATTTAATAATATGAGACAGGTTATTCTTATGTAAATGGCATAGTAACTAGTAGAGTAAACGCGGTTCTTTTTGTTTATTGGTCAGTCGTAAACAGTCAATAATTATGTAACAATAAGTTTGTAAATGAATATTGATAGAACAAGAGGGGGGGGGGAAGAGGTGTATAAACTAGTACTAGAAGCTATATCATATTAACAGCCACGGTAATGAACATGGTCGAATAAACTTCTTTTGAATTGGATTGTAATCGCCTCTACTATGTGAATGCATAATCCATGTGGCAAATTAACTGGTATGTGATGAATAATTTTGAATACCTTTCTAGTATCCACTTTATGACCATTGTCAACGATGTATGGAAGTATGGAACTCTTTATTGTTCTAATCTATCCTTATTCAGACATGATGACTGGTGCTCGTGAATTGGACGATGGACTTGCCTCCGTAAGCGCCCAATATAACTAGTTCCACATGATCATCAGAAATCATAAATGCACATTGAAGTAGCAGAATCAGGCAGTCTGTTTTTATTTATTACACGTGGAGTCGAGCAGTTGCAGACGATAGGATATAGTTTACGGGCTGGAAATGGTCTTTCAAGGGCTCTTTTTACGCTGTTTGCGAAGATATCACTAATTTATGTACTGTTGAATTCCATTTTCAAGATTTGCTTCTTGGGTAGTGTTATAATTTTTGTCTCAACTTTCGCAGTATTCATATGCTTAGTTACATAGTTTTCTGGATAGCCATTCCCACTAAGCTTATCATGGATGGTGATGAGCTCTTCCTGTATAGAATCATCAGAGCAAATAGCTACGGCACGGTATGCTAGGCATTTCATCAGCTTCCTTTTGTATTGGAGGGGCATAGCGATAAAGAAGTGTGGATATTGACCTGCTGATGCTGACTTTCTATATATACTTCATTTCAGGGTTCCATTTAAGCCTTCTTACCATCGAGAAATAGTACGTTGTCATTTTGCTCTTCTTCTGTTGTGAATTTGGTCGACGGATGAACACAGTTAAATTCATTAGGAACAGAATTCTTATCTATTTTATTTTTAAGAACTATAAAGATATCACTATTTATTGACATACTTGTTATTCTCCGTTGTTTTGTTGGATCGAATTGTTCGACCTCTATCGGTATATGGACCCCTATGCGGATACCTCGATATTGTCTGAATGTTAATTACGATAAATCGGTTGGTTGCGGCCAGCAGAAGAATCCAAAAGACGCGCGTTTCGTCCTGTTTGGGACTCGGCAGCTGGATGTACCTGCACCCTATGGATGTTGTTCCCACTGAGAATCGAACCTCGTACCCATCGCTTCAAACGCCAAGGCGTTATCCACTATGGTATGGAGGAACGATAGCCACTTCTTGTACAACGGGTAGTAGTCATTACTATTTATTGACATACTTGTTATTCTCCGTTGTTTTGTTGTGTCGGATTGGTCCTCTGTGGCATAGTGGGTAACGCCTTGGCGTTTGAAGCGATGGGTGCAAGGTTCGGGTCCCAGTGGGAACACATCACTGGGGTGCAGGTACATCCAGCTGACGGGTCCCAAATAGGACGAGACGCGCATCCTGGGTTCTTCTGCTAGCCACAACCAACCAATTTATGGTAAAGGTATCATCCATGTAATGGCAATATATAAAGACATATATAATTCCATTGGTTAATAGTTCCATTCAGAGGACCATTCACCAGTTTTGCCAGCAAAAAAATTTGAAAATACTATGGAATTCACCTTTCATCTTGAATTATTCTCCCACTTGTTAAAAGGTGAGACTGTTAGTATTTTGTGAAATTCATGACGGATAGTTGTCATAAGTCTTGTAATTGTTAAAAAGTACTTCGTTATCGAAGTACATATAAAAGTTCAGTCCTGTTGGGTCTAAACAATACAACTTGAAAGTCTTTTGAAGCATTCTATCCTTCAGGTGATGATAAGGAAACTTAATTAATTTGGAAATTATTCGGTAAAATCATCAGAAGAGTCGTTATGATACTTGTAATTCCCGGTTGCTAAACAAGACGGAATCGCTCGACCTCTGTTAATAGACAGGCTCCTATACAGACGCCTCGATACTGCTGGATATTCATGAAGTTGTATTCGTCTTGGTGACTAGTGGTGGAAACCACAATGCTTGTTTCGTCATGTCTGAGACTCACCAGCCGGATGTAGCTGCACCCCAGTAAATGATTTTGTTCTCAACGAGACTCGGGTCCCGTACTCACCGCTTCAAAAGCCAAGCGTAATCTACTAGGCCAGTGGGCACGACAACGAGCACTTATGCAATGGGTATCAGTTCTTGCTTTGATACTTGTCATTTCCCGTTGATATGCAAGTCGTGTTCTGCATCGCACTACTCGTCGCCAAGATCAGTATAACATCATGAATATTCAGTAGTATGGAGGCATCCGCATCGGAGACCATCTGCCAACAGAGATCGAGCGCTTCGACCTTGTTTAGTAACGGGGAATTAAGAATATCAATAGATAATAATAACCAGTACTCATTGCACACATGATGGCTATCGTAACCTAGTGGATAGCCCTTTGGCGTTCGAAGGGGTACGTATTGGGTTGGGGTCTCAAGGGGAACAACATCACACTGCGGTGTAGGTACATCCAACTAATGAGTTCCGTAAAGGACAAAACACACATTCTGGATTTCACTGCTAGTCATTAAGATGGATTTATCAGAACAGCATCAGACTATATGGTGAAACATACTATTGAACAACGCAAGGAATTGGAAATCACTTAGGCTGATCTGCAGATTTCACCGGGCAGTTAGATCAGAGTATTCTAAGCACCGGATGACCATTTCGCTTGTTTAGGTTAGAGCTAATCAGCAGTGTACTTGGAAAATTCAGCTCATAGGGCTGAATTAGTTCAGATCACCTGAATCATGTTGGCTAGCTGACTTGTATGGATCGGTATACCTAGAATAGATTGATCAAATTGCAAATGATTTACAAATTGTGCACGATTCATATTGAAATTTATACTAATCATCTTCAAGTGAGCGTTTCAATAACTTGTTCACTATCAGATGTAAAATCTTTATCTTCGATCAAAAAAATCACTTTTTTGTTTATTGACATTGTTCAGAAATCACAAAATTACTACAGAGGGTTGCAGATATCTTCCGAGGTCTTTTTAAAGCTTAGAAATCATCTTATAATAATTATTATTATTTGTCTCTTGGGCTCGTGGTGGAACATAGGGCTTCAGTAGCACGTCTCCATTGCACTCTCTTCTCTGCAGTCTTTTGAACCTGGCTCCTTGACTGCCCACCAGCTTTCATTTCTCCCTCACATGATCTCCTCCATGTCACCCTCATCTCGGACGCCTAACTCGTCGTTTCCCTTCTGGATTCTACTCGACGCCCTCATCTGGCCTGGTACATGATGTCCCCAAATCGGTCTTCTCAGTGTATGTCCAATCCAATCCATCTCCACTTCTGCGTATTTGTTGGGCGATAGGTTCTCGCTTGGTTGGTTGGTTGCCAGCCAGCCAGTCAGCCAACCAGCCAGAGTTCTTTGTTGCTTATTCTTTCTGGCTATCCGCCTGATCTTCAGTATCGTGGGGGAACTGGACAACTGTTTCATCCTGGAGTGGGATTCCTCAGCGGTGCACACCCCACCAGGACTCGAACCTGTGACCTTCAGGTTCCGTGGCCAGCATGTTACCATTGAGTCACTGGGTCGGAATCCAATAATGTCAGTCCATGATGAATTCCGAGCTAAAATCAATTGATAAATCTCCACAAATCTCCAGATTGAATTGAGGTTTGGTTATTTTTGTGCTTCTCTCATAAAGTCAGAAGTTGTATTTCAACGATTTGAACTCTAGGTCATACTGCAGAGCTGCAAAGTAATGTTTATATCTAGATGATTCCTAGGTTACCTAGGGGATCTGACTGGTTAATCTGAAATCAGCTGAAGCGGTTAGGTCATGAACTTTCATCAGGATGCTGTTGTGCTTAAAGATGAACAATGTGGTCAAGACACATCAGTCATCTGTGAGTTAAATGCCAGTTTATCTGAACCATGAATAGAAATGTACGCTACTTAAGTGATGTTCTCAAGATTTTATGAACCAGTTTTTGGATGGAACTGAGTGATACAACCGCAAATGCATAAATTTATTTTCCTTCTTATAATCAGGAACACCTTATTACTTGTGTTGATTGGTGACGGGAGTGCAACCAATTTCATGTTGTCTAGTCGTGATTGCAGACAGTGCAACCAATTTCATGTTGTCTAGTCGTGATTGCAGACCAAATTTTATCGATCATATTTGCAGTATATGTTAGTTGGTTGGAAGTAATCGGCAAGAAGCCCTGGACCGAAGTTGCAGATAAGCCTTGCTGACGAATGCCAAAAAGCAGGAATTTATGTCTAGATCTTCCTGCCGATTGCCTCCAACCAGCTAACACCTTATTACTTCTCATTCATTTCTCACTTATAACCTTTTTATTGATTTCCATGAATTCAGAGTTTTATTGTTGTTTTTTTCTGTACAGCAACAAAGTGTAGCGAATTGAAGCAATGTACTTTTATGCATTGTCTATCCTTTTCTGTGATCAAGATAGTTGTGTAGCATCACTCATCTTCTGAGTACACTAGGAGATTGATATAATTGTATTCAGTGATCATGTGGTTGAATGGTTAGATTGTTTTCTGCTGATCTGTCCGTCAAATGACTAGTACTGGAAAGTCCACCGAAGACCAGCTAAGCAGATGAAACTTTTGGTATTAAAAAAAACTTCTTTGAATACTTCTAAAAACTTTAGTCTAGCTTAGAAGAACCAGATTTCTCTGTACTAACTAGTAATGCTTTTTTTACCTATGCACTGTATAGATCCTACTAGCAATGGGTAACACATATCATCCAGGATGCTTTAGATGTTGTATTTGTACCAAGTGTTTAGATGGTATCCCGTTCACTTTTGATTCACGCAATCTAATCTACTGCCTACCAGACTATCATCTTGTTAATGGACCATTATGTGGAGTCTGTGGACTGGTAATTATGCCAGAAGAGGTAGGTCACCTTTTAAAATATTTCATTCCTGTTTATTATATCATAGGTTGTTGTGCTTTGACAAATGAAGATATCCAGAATGATGAAAAAGCCTATACTTCAACCGAATTTGCAGCAGGAATTTCATCAGTTTAAAGGAAGTTATCACCATAAATCATGATCAGCTTAAAGATTATTGGGGGATGCAACCGAGGTTTTGTTGTAGTGTACAGCTCAGGTTCGACTTTTGAATCGGAAGGAACCCAGATTCATGTGTGAAGTCAAATTGTATATTATTGATGGATGATAGTTAGCAGTGGAATCCAGGAAGTGCATTTCGTCGTATTTAGGACTCGTCAGTTAAATGTACCTGCCTCCCAGTGAGTGATGTTGTTCTCAAATGTCAGATCGTTATGCACTAGACCACCGAGCCATGTTAGCTACTTCTTGTGCGACGGGTATAGTTTAAAACAGCATAGTATAATACAGGCAACAACATTAGGTCAAAATTGTCCAGTTTCGGTCAGTTTGCTACATACACAACTGTCCTCGTTCACACTAGCAGTAGTTATCTGCCTTTCTTCACACACGACTTCTGTGATTTAAAAATCACTCGTTGACTAGGAATCTACTTCAACTGACTCGCTCTTGACAGACTTTACGCATCTACCTTTTCCCACTGTTATACAAGGTGTCACTTTACCCGAAACGTCGAGCATTCTTACTGAGATAATACAAACGACAGTGGTAATATCATTATGCTTAACAATAATTTATCCATTTGAAAATTATTTTTTTGTTTTATTCCACATATTTCGTGTTCTGTATATTTCCATCTAACATTGCATGTTGTTTTCGCTTGATTTCCTGCAAGTCGATCAGTATCATTTTCAGCATCAGTATACATACTACATATAAGCATTTTAATAAGTAACTCTCACTACACTTAGAGATATTTCAGGAATCTTTCCATGTCCACAACAGTAAGTAAATGATCGATAATTGATGTGTACTAATACGGGAAGCCAGAAACGTTGACTACTGAAAACTAAGATATTCGATTGTCTCTTTTCGTAATATTTTGAATTGTCCAGAGCTGGTCAGTGAACTGCTACAAGATGAGATTAACTGAAGTTCTTGTGAGAAGTCATGGCCGGTGGGTTAGACGTGATAACAAATACTCAACGCGATGTCACTGGATGGAGGTCGTGCTATATCGTAAAAAAATGTAGAACATTGGATCCCAATCCAGTGGCTCAATGGTAACGTCATGCTGACTGTACAGCCTAACAATTCTGGTTTTGGTTCCTGGTTAGGCGGTGAGTGAGCATTGTTGAAGAGTTCCATACTAGAATGAAACAGCTGTTAAGTGTTCACTGGTTCTTTAACTGATCTCATTCTGGATCAACACCAAATGGAAATAGAATTGTGGAAAAGAAATACCGGTTGTGGTGCTACTCAAAAATTCGGTAGATATTCACAACGTCATTCCTGTTAACATATTTACAAATGATACTGATCTTCTGGAAATCGTTACTTACCGTCTGTGAGGATTTATCAACTACTCAAAGTGTATGGATCTCCAGCACTTCTCTTCTTCTTTGTGGATTTAAAAAAGCCAAGACATGAAAACGTACAACAGTAATCAAGTTCATAGGATTATCACTGTAACCAACCAAACAGACTGCACCGTACAGTCGTGTCATCCACTTTAGTGGGTATTTTGCAGTCGTGATCAGTAGGCTTCTGTCAGTGCCGAGTGTTTAGACTTGAATGGATGAATTATATACTGTCTGATCATTCATTTACTATGTTTTGGAAGATTTAGAATGTTTTTTGTCTGTTGGCTCCATTCTATTACACAAGCAAACAGTCCAATATGTGAAAGTGGTTCACTTGGTCAACATTGTACTTTGAAATACAATCTGTGAAACTTATGTTCAATGAATCTTCAGAAACTCTACAGGTTATTCCACTATGATGATTCATATTTATCATGTTGATTTAGTTGATGAATGAGACAACTTTTTAGAAGTAGTCAACATGTTGATATGAATTCGATGCTTTTATCACCTACTATGGCCGAAAAGCATTTCCTATATTACAATTGAAGTACTCAGCTACACAATAATCTATGTTACTGGTGAGATTCAAATGATCTACGAGTAAATAGTCTTCCAACTACAATCAGCTACACTATTTCATCAGTCAAGAACTATCAGCTTTTTGCTGAACAGTCATCGGTTCTAAAGTACCTTGATTAATCGGATTATACGACTTAATTACTTATTATTCGCATTCGGACGCATTCAAGAGAAGCAGTGAAATCATGCACTCTCTGTAAATTGTTCTAGAATTATGATGACAATTTCCAGTAGATTTCAGGACATATAATCCTTTTTGCTTAGATATTACCACGTTAATGTACCTATATTTCAGTAATACTCCTCATATCGTGCCTGAAGCCAGTCTACTATGCTTCGTCATGGAGTTGTCTTAAACGCTACTGTTGACCAAACGTACAATATCCCATACTCCAAACCATTTACAGTAAACGATACGTGTGAATTAGTGAATAACCTTAAATTATCTTGGTTGTATTATGTCCTATGAGCTGGGTGACTTAATTGTAAAGCTTTCATTGTCAAAACAACATCATCAACACTAACTTCAATATGAAGTGAGATAACAATATCTCCCCATGAGTGATCTAGTAGATGGCTCTGATCAAATGGTTTGTGGTTGGTTGTTTTCTTTGACTGTTATGTTATTGACTGAATAGATTTCTTAAACAAACCAACTCAGAGTACACAACCAAAATTATCTACCTGCACTACATATATTCTCCACCATCCCAACCTCTAATTAAGATGAAATGGCCAATTTTTGCTGGATACTTAGTTACTGCTTTTTAAGAATAAAAACCACCCTCGATTACATCAAATCATCAAGGAGTTCAGGTTGAATAAATTTATAAAAGGTGGATGTGTGAGCGATGAAAAAAGTTCCCAACATACTTCCAATTCAACGGCAAGATATACAAACAGATGAAAGGAACTCCAATGGGATCACCGATATCCGGATTAATAGCAGAAGCAGTGATGCAGAGACTGAAAGCCATTATTCTACCTGTGATCAAACCAAAAATTTGAATTCGTTATGTAGACGACACTTTTGTCATCATTAAAAAGGATGATATAGAAAACACTCACAGTTTGATCAACAACGTTTTCAATGACATCAGATTCACGATGGAGAAGGAGTCAAACAACCAACTACCATTCGCGGATGTTTTAGTCAGTAGGACAAAAGCTGGAAAGCTGGAAACCCAAGTGTACAGGAAGCCAACACACATTGACCAAGTTCTCAACTACAGTAGCAACAACCTAACAACGCACGAAATCAGTTGCGAGCAGACTCTATTCAAAAGAGCGAGAACACACTGCAGTACAACAACTTCACGAAGAAACGAAGAAAATCACTTGATGTCCACCCTAAAGAAGAACGGCTACCCACCAAACTTTATCAGAAGATGCCTATCTCGTGCATCACCAACTACAAAGTTATCGACAGAAATCAACAAACGCATCGTCCTACTATACATAAAGAATGTATCAGAATCATGACAAGATTGCTGAGACCACTTGGAATTGGTGTGGCTCATAAACCAACAAAATTCCCTCCACACCCCATTATGCAGACCAAAGGATGCAACAAGCAAAGAAGACAAACTGAATATCATTTACAAAATCAACTGAAATAACTGTAGTCAGCACTACATTGGACAAAGCAGCCGCCCTATTCGCCTTCGTCTACATGAGCATCAATTGCCTATTAAACGCCACTAAATTTCGTCACTCATTTCAATGCATGTGGATAATTATGGACATGAATTCAGTTTCGACAATGTCGAAATTTTGGACAGAGGAAACACAAAGAATGTCAGAGAATTTCTAGAGGCTCGGCATTCAGGTCAGTCAGCAATCAACAGATGTATAGGCATAGACCCGATCTGTCAACCAACAAGAAAAATGATAAACGACAGAAAGGTTAGAGGTGAAGCAGGGAAACAGCCAACAGGAATGTCTATACAATCAATGACACAACAATCGAAGGAAACAGCCAATCACAGACCGCATCGTCAGAGCAAGCTACTAAATCACTCACGGGGAGATATTGTCAGCTCACTTCATACTGAAGTTAGTGCTGATGATGTCGTCAAGAAGGATGATGAGAGCCTCACGATTAAACGACCCAGCTCAGAGAACACAATACAACCAAGACCATCCACCTGAGCTACAAATATTCTCCATTAGTTCCCATAGGTCTCATGTATATGTTGTTTCCCGAAGAAACTCAACTCAGCTGGCTTATTATCATATTACCGCTACTTCATTTCGAACATGCTCAACTTTGAACTTACCCTTAACTTGGTGTTATTCTTTTACATATTAATGATGGATAGTGGTGAGCAATGGAATCCAGGACACGCGTTTCGTCCTATTTAGGACACATCAGTTGGATGTACCTGCCTCCCAGTGAGTGTTGTTCTCGCTGGGATTCGAACTCATGACTGACCACTCCGAATGTCAGAGCGTTGTGCACTAGACTACCTAGCGACGATAGCTATTTCTTGTGCGACGGGTACAGTTTTAATATTGGTGCTTATATTATCTCATCGCTGAGTGGACCGAATTGATTTGTATTTGCTGACATATGGGCTCCTATGCGAATTTCTTGATATTACCTATCAATTCATCCGCACAGGAGCTCATATGTCAGTAGAGACCGGTTAATTCGGTCCACTCAACTATGGTACAATACAAGCAACAACATCATAATTCTTTTAGGTTGGGTGTTATTTCACACTACTTACAAGTAGTTGAAATTTCCGAAAAATATTTTAGCTTAATTCCTTATGGTGCTATAGAAGTTTTGATAGGTAATATAAAACAGCAGTTACAGGTAAGATTCGTAGGAAATGGAAGAGGAGGATAGGGGATAGTTAGAGCAAAAGACTGATTAACAATAAGCTAATGGTTAACATTTCAACCTGATTTTCTTTTAGGTTCACTCCTTAGTCATGTGTAAGCGTTTCCAGGAAAGATTTACTGCTGGAGGATGTAACCAAAGTAAACTTATGGGGAAGATTGATAACTCCTTTGATCTTCTAAAAATGAGCTCATCAACAGGACAGACAGAGTAACCTCTAAACTAGCCTTGTTGATGGTTGTCAAGAATTTGTCATTCGGATGTGATTCGTTCAATTTAAAGGGTTCATAGTTGCCTCATCTAATTTAAGCACAGCAGCTAAAAATGCCAATACAATTTTTAAATCACCAGGTTAACTATATTTTCATCTCCTAGAATGAATGGTGTATTTAGGTCTAACTGTATTTGATATCACAGGTTTGCTGATTAACTCTCATGAATATTTTGTCCTGTTCTTCCTGTAATGTTCAGTGAACTAGGCAGCTTAATACCTCTGACAGGAGTAAGATGTAGTTAACTGAATATCTCTATGTATCTTAACATGTTAGTATTTCTTAGCAAGGTACTGGTAAGCGATTCCCTTATGTTGAAAGTTTTTATAATTTCTGATTGCATAGTCATTAGACTCTTTGAACCTTTTCATCTTCACCTTCTTTGATAGCTCTGTATGCGATACAGCAAAGCTTTGAACTATACAGTATACTTGACGTTTAATCCATACAGTGACACCAGTGAACGCAAATAGAACTTCTTCCATCCGAGCTGAAATATCATCAACTAAGACATTTGATTCCTTATCATTTGACCAGATAAAGATGGAAATCAGCTCCTAAGCATTGTTCATCATCGGATAGACGTTAATCTGCCTTTCAAATATTTTCAGGTTTCTAAGTACATTCTAGGTCATCTATAGAGCTTCTAGATACTTCAGGGTTTTTGATACAGTCTAGATTAATTATTTATTATTATTATTTGTCCCATGGGTTCCTAGTAGAACATAGGGTTTCAGTAGCACTTCGCCATTTAACTTTGTTCTCCATAGTCTATTTAACCTGGCTCCACGACTGCCCATAAGCTTTCATTTCTTCCTCACACTGTGTCCTCCATGTCACCCTCAACTAGGACGCCCAACTCGTTTCCTATTTGGGCTCCACTAGAGGCTCTGGCACGCGATGTCACCAAACGGTCGTCTACATTGATAGACTCTGTTAAGATGAGTGATGTAGAGAAGAATTAAGACATGGTTATGTATGTGATGGGAAACGGCGAGTTGGGCATCCGAGGTGAGGCTGACATAGAGGAGATGGTGTGAGGAAGAAATGAGAGCTTCTGGGCTGTCGTGGAGCCAAGTTCAAACGATTTCAGAGAAGAGGGTGGAATGGAGACGTGCTACTGAAGCCCTATGTTCCACTGGGAACCCAAATAACAAATAATAGTATAATACTATGTATGTGATAACAAATAAGTAGCACAATAGAGTGGAACAGAATAACAGTCCCAAAGGTAAGAGAAACAGACAGACAGGTTGATCATTGAAACTTTGTTCATTGGTTCAATGACTAACAGATACATAATAGGAGTGATTCAACATCGATTTCAGATGTATGGAGAATCATACTACCAATTGAATCCAAGAAGTAAAGACAGGAGGTTGTCTGATTGATTACCTTGATGTGATCATGAGATGAATTGTGCTGGAAATGTCACTAATGTGCTATTTCAATTAGACTAATGTGACATAGTACTAATATTACTAACATTACTGGAGATTTCTGATCATTATTATAATTAACTGATATGAACTGTTGTCCTAGTGATAAATTTTCTCGACATTTTTATAACGCATAGCCGGTTATTCATTCATCAAACTAAATGAAATCAGTTGATTCGTTCAAACATATGGTCAATGTTGGCATCCGTTTTCTAATTGCCTTCAGTTCAAGATGGTGTGTATAACTTACAGTATTTCTTTTTCTTGTTTATAGGGTACAGATGAACTTCGAAGAGTTGTGGCACTGGGAAAGGAATTTCATATTGATTGCTATCGATGTGTTGTAAGTGATTTATTTCTGTGAATCAGTTTTATTGAAATCTTAAGTTATGGGCTCGAACTAGGAGGTTAATCGATTGGAAGAATATACTGATGCACTTTATGAGATTCGGAATTGAATCAATTGCTTGTGAAGCCAGAGATTTCAGAAAATGACTATGGAGGTCAATTTTACCTCCCGTTAGGTTAATCTTGTTGACGTTTATCGACAAGTGTGAGACCTACATCCTGAACTTCATATCAATACAATCTAAGGAACTGGCATTAACCGAATATGCAGGTTTGACTGATTTTAAAGAAGTTTACATTACAGGTCAACATCAGTCAGAGAAAGGCTGACAACCTGAGAACGCTAAGAAACTTTTCAATCCTATTTTGGAGCACCTATACAACACATAACTTCGATCGCATATGGAGTCGAACTAAGAGCTATTACGTCTGGCAGAGAACAGGTTGGGTTAGAAACCCCCTTTTTCTAGATTGTTAGTTTAAGTGTAACCGTCAGACAATGCCTCAGGCGGGTATTTGTCCTCATGTTCAATCTAACTGATACCACTGGAACAATAGGGACTCCAGTTCCGATCAATAGTTAACTGACTGATATCAAGCAACCTGTGAGGAAAACTCCACTGAAGTAGGAAAAAGTTGATAGCTATTCTTATTTGGTAGCTGCAATACAAACATAATGAATAGAATTCAATCAGGGTTTACGACTGTACAACACGAGTTGGATCACTGTCCATCAAACTTATCAATTAATCTTCTATTTGTTGCCTACTCATCGAAATTTCATTTACTAGAATACAGGAAAGTCGTCACAACTTGTAATATGTTGAAAAATATAATCGAAGGAAGTAACTGCTACGTTAGATACAGTTTGGTGTTACGAATTAATGTTATTGTAGTATTTACATAGCATAAATGGTTCTCAGTTCTTTGGTAAGACAGATCATCGATGTACAGCTCTGAAGAGTTTCAGGATAGGATGATATATGGATCGGCTGTTATCTGACGAATATACTTTTGCACCGAAGATGGTGTCTTGGTGACGCTTGATAATACAATCTTATTGGCTATGTAAATTCTGATGATATGGCAATAATGTTGTTTATCATTTTGACTATCTGAGATAGCCATAGTTTGGCAGACTAGTATTTATACTGGGTGATGATTGAAGGTGAAATGAAAACTTGGACCGGGGCCTGATTTGAGCCAGCAACCACCAGATTTCCCGCCCAATTGAAGTACAAGGTTCTGGACCTCTCTGGTTCGAATCCAGCCATGGTCTCAATTTTCATTTCACCTTCAGTCATCATCCAGTATAAATAATGTTATTGTTGATGAGTCTACCCATCGTGTTTGCACTTCTAGCCTCTTGTCTTCATTTTTAAAGAGAGCAATAGACAAATTCGCCTACAAACAACTCTTTCACAGACCACAATAATTGACTTTTCGGTCATGTCTCCAATCTATGGGATTAGCATAGACCCTTCATTTATCGATAAAATGGATCTTTCACATAAATTTAGACTGTTTCAAAAAGAAAAAGGTATCGTAGTCTATTTTTATGTCGATTGGAACTCCTTTTCCAGAACAGACTACATCTTCGACAAAACTGCTCATTACTAGGAAGGGTTGACAGCAATGAACAAACAATATTTAATAATTCCGTTGGCTTAAGGTAATATTCACTGGGGAAGGATATCAGTTGATGAGATAGCTGAAAGTTACAAACACTAGAGAGATGTTTCATTCTGGCATGAAACTCTTCAATAGTGCCCACCTAAGACCTCGCTATAGATGATGTAAGTTGATGATGAATACTGCCTTGAAATCAGTCACTTCTGACAAACATTCAAATTGGATTAGTTGGCGTTTGCTATGTACTGTTAAGAACTTGAGAAAGAATCCCAAAGTAATCAGGATTGTTGAAGCAAAAGAGAAATGCAATACCAAGTATTCATTTAGACTTTATTAACCTATAAGTTACTCCATTGTGAAAAGCCACATTTACGTTGGTGTTTTTGCATAACATTCTAGCTTTTATGTTGTTATCATTTATAGCGTAGTATAATAAAAAGACGTAGTTTACATATGTAACATATTTAGTATGAAGGTTTCCATTATGCCCTTAGAAGGTTCACTTCACACTGACGACATCTTAGTAATACACATGCGATGAATACGATGATGCAGCAAGCCTGTAGGAGATGTTTAACACCGATATCTTCTCCATATAATAGTGACTGGGAGGAAAGATGGGTCAATAAGAAGATCAATGTACAAAAGACCTATACTTACCGGACAATACCTACGTTTTTACAGCTTATATTCAATACAGTATGAAGATGAGGGATGCGAAATGCTTATCTAAGCTGACCCAATGCATTTGTACAATAAATACAATGAAATAAGAAATTAAACTCTTAACAGAGATACAAGTGAATAATGCTTATCTTTTACAATGCACAAAAATATTTCAACGTTAAGATCTAATCAGTTCTCCGTCTTAAAGAGAAATATGCGTATATTCCACTTTCACATAAGAGAAAGTCAAACAGACTTGATTCAGTTATTAAAAGGACATGTATTATGCAGTCAAGCGTTTTATTCTAGAGAAAATAACACTCATTCTCCATCACACACCTCACCACTGCATACCTGATTACGTTACATCTCGGTGTATATACTAATTCACATGTGTATGCGGAGACACTTAAATTAGAAGGAGTAATCGGACTGTGAATTTGAAGATAGTTGAACATATCTCCACATGGTTGAAGAAACAAATGGACTTGAATAAGAGTAGTATTCGTCATGGAATGACATCAGTTGGGGAACCATTGGAAATCTGGGAGCACTGGACAGCTGTTTCGTTCTAGTACGAGACTCCTCAGCAGTAGGCACCGACGACCGGCTAGGGATCGAACTCAGGGCCTTCAGGTTTCAAAGCGTACGCACTAACCACTCAGTCACTGGGTCAGCTTCTGTAATTCACGATATAGCGTGACTATCACCCAAGGTCTTCAGTTAGCATCCGCTTCACTTCCGACTGGTTGACCCCACATAGGTCACGGCTTCTCATTAGAGCTTTCTAATAACCATCTGGAAGCAAGTCACCATTCATTTCAAAAATATACTTGAATAGTTCAATAACTCTATGGGTAAATATCTCATAAAAATAGGCGTCAGTACTGACTCCAAAACAACGCTGAAGTCAAGAATGAAGAACCATCAGGATCATGTACTTACGTTTACTGAAGCCTTAGCTTTACGTAAGTTCAGACTTGTTTAGTATATCCAAAGTCAATTTATCCTTACCTTAAACTTTTCTGGGTAATTTTCATTACATGTTAACACCGAAGGAGTTATAAAAAAATGTACCGTTTCTCCTAATCATTTTTCAGTTTATGATCTTCATTTATTTGTCTTGTCCCATTCTATTTTCACCTTTCAATATAAAATTGCTTTACTATGTAATTGTGTGATTGGAATCAACTATCTCATATTCTTTATTTACATATTCTCCGTTTTGGTGTTTTTGCACATCGATACATCATCTGTATACAACAAGATCAATGGAGCTATTGAATTTGATAGGGGGTTATTCAAATCAAACAACCAGAAACTGAAGAACAAAACTACAAAGGATATCTTCACGTCAGCCATTAGAACAAAATGGGAGACATTGAGCAACATCCCTGAAGGATCGGGAGTGGAAGAACACTGGAACTCTTTGAAAGAGCTGTGGAAACAAACCTTCACAACCGTACTAGGAAGGAAGAGGAAACAAGAAGAGACAAGGAATGGATCTCAACGGACACATGGAAGCTGATAGAGGAGGGAGAGGAAGATGGTGAAGCAGAAGATAAGCCGGTGCAGGCGGGGATGAACGACGAGAAGAAGAACTGAGTACAACCTACAAAACACTACACTGGACAAAGAAGTGAAGAAGAGTGCACGCAGAGACAAAAGACACTTCTACGAAACACTTGCAGGTGAAGCAGAACAGGCTGCTGGTAAGAGAGACACAGACCCGACACCATTGTATCAAATAACCAGGTTACTATCTGGGAGAGGAGAGATCAACATAGATGCAACCAATAAAAGATAATGAAGGAAAGGTAGTTACTAAAGAGGAGAAACAAAGGAAACAATGGACTGACTACTTCAGAAAACTCTTGAATCGACCATCACCTGCAACTCGTCCAGAAATACTACCAGCAACCTAGCCACAGAACTACAAGTGAACACAAGCTCTCCGACAAAAGTCGAAGTCCTGAACGCCATAAAGTTGCTGAAAGCCTGGAAAGGAGAAGGACCAGATGGAATTCCTCCAGAAGTACTGAAAATAGACTCAGAGACAACAGCGGACATGCTCACACCACTACTGCAGTACGTTTGGAAGAAAGGCTACCTTGTCAAACTCTCAAAGAAGGCAGACCTAAGCCTTTGCAAGAACTGGCGAGGAATCATGCTCCTGTCCCCCCAAGCAGAATATTATGCCGCATCATCCTTGAGAGACTAAAATATGCTCTGGATTCAAAATAGCGACCGAAACGGGCTGGGTTCAAGAAGGACAAATCATGTGCGCATCCAATTGCAACGCTATGCGTCATCATTGAACAGCATAGAATGGCAGTCAACTCTCTACCTCAACTTTATCGACTTTGAAAGGCCTTCGACAGCGTTGACCGGGAAGTGATTTGGCAGTTGCTTCAACACTACGGAGTGCCACAAATCCTTATCAACTTCATTCAACAGCTATATGCTAGATGATGATGATGCTACATGCCAAGTGATTCACAATGGAAAGCTCAGTGACGCCCTTGAAGTGAAGATAGGAGTAAGACAAGGCTGCCTACTATCACCCATGATCTTCCTGATTGTGGTGGACTGGATCATGCAGCAGACAACTGTGAGGAGCGAGAAGATAGGGACACACTGTTTGATCGATGAAAAGATCCCAGAAGATTTGAATTTCTCCGATGCTGATTTATGTCTAATGTCGCACAAACTCGAAGATTTACAGGCAAAAACTAACAAGTTGACAGAAGAGGCGGGGCAGCGAAGACGGGACTTCAAGCGGACGTAGAGAAGACGGAGGTGATGAAGATACCCAACCACCACCACCACCAACAACAACAAGCACCAATCACCATCACCAACGGGAGGAACCTAAAGGAAATAGTCTCTTTCACCCACCTGGGAAGCATCGTTTCAAATACAGGCGGCGGCACAGACGAGAATGTCAAAACCAGGATCGGAAAAGCCATCAAGATAGGCTTTCATTAATCTGAAATCAGTGTGGAGATGTGCTGCAATCTGCTGAGCATAGAGAACAATATACAGATTTTCAACACCAATGTCAAGTCATTGCTGCTATATGTCTCAGAAGCTTGCGCGTCACGAAAAGCACTTCCAAAAAACTACAGATCTTTATCAACAATTGCCTACGCTTGATACTGAAGATGGCGATCAGATGCCCAGAAAGACTAAGCAACAAGGAACTCACTCTGGGAACGAACTAACCAAGATGCTATCACCCAACAAATATGCAGAAGGAAGTTGAGATGGATTGGATTGGATTGGATTGGACACACACTGAGAAGACCGGTTGGGGACATCACGCGCCAGGCTATACCAGGGTGTTGAGTGGAACCAAAAATGGAAACGACGAGTTGGGTGTCTGAGGTGAGGGTTACATGGAAGAGATGGTATGAAGAAGAAATGAAAGCTTGTGGGCAGTTGTGGAGGCAGGTTGAAAAGGCTGATGAGAAGAGAGTGAAATGGCGATGTGGTACTGAAGCCCTATGTTCCACCAGCAGCCCAAGGGAAAAAAATAACATTCAAATCAATTCAACACAATGGTATGCTCTAGACATACTCCATTTCAACTATCAGTAACCTATTTGTACTTTCAATTTTACAATTTGTGAAGTAAAGAAATAAACTCAGTACTACTTCAATAACATTTTGGTGTGTAAAAGTTCGTTGAAGTTAAATTGAAATCGCATTTGTCGTGAAACGTAGATTTTGGTAACTGCTAGTAGAATTCAGGAAACGCATAGGTCGCATCTTTGACCCATCAACTGTATGTAACTACATCCGAGTGAGTGATGTTATCCCCACTAAAAATTGAACCCAGTACCCATCACTTCAAACACTAAAGGTTTATCCACTAGGCTACGGAGGCATAAGTACTATTTTAGAAAATTAGTGAAAAACAATATCACTCGCTGGGGTGCAGGTGGACCCAGTTAACAAGTCCCAAATAAGATGAAACGCTCATCCTGTATTCCACTGGTAGTCACAAAGATGAATATAATATCATGACTATTCGAAAGTATCCATGCATCTGTATAGGTGATCATCGGTCAACAGAGGTTAAGCAATTCGACCCTGTATACCAACGGGAAATAATACAACTTTCTCAAGTTATCATTTCCTTTCGTAAACTGATTTCAACAGTATGTTTTCTGGTAATTTATAAAACAATACTTACAAAGTCCAACACAGTAATCAAGAGTGAATCTTGATCATTGTAGTAGATTGTAATTCCATTTTAATTCGTCTATTAAATATAACACACACCATAATTTAACGTTTTTTATATTTCAGACATAAATAATAATAATTCATAATCTCTTTGCCGTAACTCTACAACTTCAAGGGATACTTCTTATAGTTTTTCCTAGTTATCCACCTTTTTCATTTAAGTGAATAGAATTTCCTATATATCTGAAACAGGTGAAAAATTATTCCTTTTGTAATATTTAATGTTTTGTTTCAACAAACAAAAGATTTCATACATTTAGTCCCCTTGATACATTTGAATAATACAAGAACAAAGACATTTGTAGAATAAAATGAGGCCATTTCATTTGATGGCTTCTCATCAGCTACAAACAGCCTACAATTGAATTACTGGTAGTAATAATGGCATACCATACTTTAAATATGTGGAAATAAATGAAGATTTGAAGTTCAGGGCTAACAGTTAGTAGTAAGTTAAAAGAACACAGGACTAATAGTTACAAAACGTTTTCAAAGTCAATGACAGTTTCTACACATCTGATGAGATAGAAAATTCTGAAGCTAAGAAAGGGGGGGCGATGCACAACAAACAAGCATCAGTGTAAAAGAAAGGTCTATTTAAGAGATAACAGGTTACGTAATTACATGAAAATCGTCAAGTGATTAATGAAGAGATGAGGCATTAATATAAGTGTAAAACTTAAGCATTCTGGTAGAATGTAATTCTATATTACATTTGCCAGTTCGATTTATAACACACAGTAAGTGGTACAGGTATCATTTACTGGATGACATTTCGAGCATCGACAATCATTGCTCATAATCATATCAATGTAACCACACTACCTTCGACATCTGATTTATATAGTCCTGTCACCTCTTATTCTTTGTTTCTATTGGCAGTAAAACCTTCCATATCTCTGGTAGAGATGTTGCGTCATTCCTGTTACATGTGTTGGGTGATTCGATAAACAAAGACTCAGTAATCAATCTCCCTTTCTCTACCTCTCCACCCATTTATATTGGACTTAACTAGAGTGATTTTATTCAACCCACACAGGCTACTGTGTGGTTGTGTGTTGGTGTATGCAAGACATTGGAATGGTCGAGTTTTTTTTAGATTATTGATCATAATGGGGTCTGTCAGTTTATAATCAGCCAAATTATTATATCCCACTATTCTAACTTACCCCGATCGGCTAGTTTGACCTATCTACTTGTCTAGGTCTTTGTACTGGCTAGTCAGTTTTCTAGCTGTATCATTTAGACATTTAACTAAACCTGCCTTACCTGACATAGGATGAGATGACTTGAAGTTTAGATATGTTAGAATATGTCAGTTTTCTGTAGACAGTAGTATCTAAACCACAGTCTGCCCTTCATTTCATCCTGCAATCCAACATAGGTTATTCTCCTTGTTCATTTTCTACCTTGCAACCATATGCATAGCTGTAATCGAGCTTTTCTCTAAATTCCTCATCTTTTCCAGTGTCTGCCAGACTTAGATTTAACTAAGTTTTCTTGCTTGGGCAACGTAGTTGATGGCGGTCGACTACTTCGACCTATGTGTTCACTGTAAGGGATTTAGTAGGAAAGAAATTCTCCTATTCATATAACATGAAGTTGGAGAATCGGAAAGAACTACACAAACTGTCTTGAATCAGATAGTTACTGTGACATGACTACAGGAATTATTCCTGTTCAAAATGTTATTAGGTAATGGATAACACATCATTTCAAATGGAATTACACCGCAGTAGGTGTACACGCAGAAAGAGGATACATCCACTTCAAAACAATCGGTACAGACTGAACAGACAGCTAACAACTACCTACCTGAGTTCTACTCATTAAAACAAAACATTATGTGCGTCAATATTCTCGTTTGAAATTGAACATACTTTTTTCTATCCTTTCTCTCTATTCAAATTGTAGGATTGTAAACGAAGTTTGGGTGATGAACCAGAGAAACGTTGTTATCCTTTCAATGAACCTGACCCCGGAGCACCTGGTCGTAGCATACAGAGAATATTGTGCCTAAACTGTCATTTGCAACGAATCGGTGCTATTCCTGCGACACTAGCTGGTAACGGTGTAAATAATACCAGCAATAGTACTACTACCATTAATAGTGGTAGTAGTAGTAGTGGTAGCGTTGGTCATGTGAAGTCAAATAGTGGGATTGAAAGTCATCCTGTTGTCTCAAGTCATATCAATAATTTAAGCACACGTTATTCAACATTGCCGACTAGAATTCAAGGATCCAAGTTGAGTACAGGTGTGGATCATGCACCAGTAAATCATCATTATCAACATTATCCACATCAGTATCATCATCTTCACCAACCGAATACTTCATTAACAACATCCGCCTACCATACTTATGGTCATACACCCAGCACTCGTAGCACATATACTATACCGAATTCATCAGTGAACACAACAGGTTTAACTCACAGAGTAATAATAATTATGCATTGAACTGGGAGAAGGCAAGAACGAATGGTGTGAGTAATGGGAGTCATTTTCATCAGACAGGAAGTAATAACAATGGTAGCAGCAGTCATAACAATAATCACACTGGGAGAACACATTAGAACTGTTTTGGTTCAAACAGCTAACTGTCATCACCTATCGTCACAACGCATACAAATATTGGCTAATCCCAAAGACAGGACAGATTGTTTTATTTGCCCTTTGAATTTCTACTGTCACCATTTCACTTTCCTCTAGTCGAATGTATTCATCTGTAATGTTTTCTTCAACTTTCCTTTTATCATGTTCATCTCCTTCAACTGTATCATGAAATTATTTGAAATATGCCACGATCTGCATTTGAAATTACTTTTGAGAAAAGCTATAAAAAAGATATCTGCACGATAACAAGAGTAGGACGAAAATGTCACTCATCAACGGGATACAGTAGAAGCGCTCTCTACCACTGAATACACTTTACGACTGACCGATTTTTCTCGCCTTCACCTTGTGTTCCATAGTCACAATCGCATTAAATATAAGATCCTTTTTATACTATACAAGCTCGAATATAGTAATAAAAACATTTTGTCTCTCTGTTTAAGGATTGATGGTTACTTTAACAAGCCTGAGGTTCATGCAGGTTTAGTTCTGGAGTCAGAGGCAAGCGAGATACTCAGCATCATTATCAACAACAAGAAGCGCATATGTCTAAGGTGTGGGATGAAAATTTCAAGATCTGACAACCTAAGACATCTGATGTATTCTCTCCTGAGCGTAAACAGTTTAATTCCAAGTTCTCAATACTATATGATGAGGCATCCTAGGCATAAGCTTTTAAGAGAAGTGGTATTGGACATTTCTCTTCAAAATCCTGAAACCAAACGGTTGGTTTATTCTTCGTCTGGTGAAGTAAAAATTGAAAGGAAAGGAATTGTCTGAAATACCGTATGGTTAACTAATGGCTGATCAAATGAAAACCTCGGACAGTGAGGTACCTGGGTGCTTATCGTCATCAAAAGCATATTATGAGAAGTGTATCGACAAAATAAATACACATCTGTGTCCAAAGTAAACCATAATTGAAAATGTAGAAATGCGTGGTGGAAGACTTAAGGTAGTCGACTGCTCAATATAGGAAATAACTGGAGGGAGTATAATACAATCATGAAGTGTGAAAGTTACCAGTACCGTAGAACCTTGAAATGTTGGACGAGATACGATTTCAAAGGAAAATGGACACAAAGATGTGGTTGGAGTAAACATTTTCAATGATGAGTTTTACTAATCACTACTAGTGAACAGTATGAATCTTAGGGCGAAAACAGGTACAAAGGTAATTTCAGGACAGGAGATTGAAACAAATTATGAAAAGAACTAACAAGCATAACAGCATGTTTCAGTGTAGATGGGTATGACAGGTACTTCAAGGAGACCTTTATAATTTATGTGTTGTACTTAGGCTTTTTAAAGGTCTCATTATGATATACTCATTCTGAATATTTGTTAGGTTGTGTTTATGTCAGTATTGAGTTGGTGGTTTGTGGAAACTGATTGCTTTGAAATTTACTTTCATCATGGATTAACATCAGTTGGAGGATGGTAAGGAGCCTGGAAAGACTGAACAGATTTTTCGCCCTATTTGGGAACTATTCAAACAGTGGGCAGTAACGACTCCAAATCTGGTCGAACTAAACACTATCAGGTTTCACGACGACGATTCAGTCGCTGGACTGGCATCCACTTCTCACGTATTCTCCGATTAAGTGGTTGTCTGTTGTTTTCGAGGTAGTCTTTGTGTGTCTGTGAATTTTCCTGCAGTCTTATTCAGTGAATTTTTATTTCAGATGGTTTCACAGTACCTATATAGGCACAGATCTGCTAAACCACCACTATGAGTTTTTAAGGAAGGAGGTAAGAAACTGGCGAGTAAGGGAATGGGGTAATGAGTGGCTTGTGAGAATCAAAGGGAGTCCCGTGAAACTGGTATTTTTTACCGACAGTTCCAATCTGTAAGAAAGGAGAGAAGTCTTCTTGAGACACCCATAAGGAAATCTGTTTGACATGCGTCGCGTCTAATGTAATTGACTATGTAGTTATTTAGCGCCCAACTAGAGCCCAAGAACAGAACTCTCATGAAAACCAGGTAGGTACGAGGTTTGAATGACGGTGCATCGACAGCAGCACTTCTTAAGAGGCCTGAGATGGGCGCACTTACTAGTGCAAGGCACCTGAGCTGGGATACAGACGGCCCGTTTGGCATTTATTAACATGCATCACCTGTGGCGCCGCATGATGAGATACCCAACTACTCATCAAAGAACGGGTACACTGCGCTGCTCTCCATTGTGTTCTGTTATATGGCTGTGAAACATGGCCGTTAAAAGTGGGAGACGTGAAGTGGTTAAATGTTTTTGATCGCAGTTGCCTTCGTAGGACTGCTTGCGTATGATGGAATCACCGTATGATTAATGTTGAGGTCAGAAGGAAGGCGCTAAGTAAGACATGGAAGTTGATTGATGAGGCTGCTAGCCTGAATCGACTGAGATGGCTTGAACATGTGCTGCTCATGGCGACGTGCCATGCTACAGGAAGGTGGATTAGGTTGGAAAAGGGTTCAGAGTGGCCTGATCGAGGCGTGGCAGCAGTCGACGAAGTCCCCGGCTGTTGGCTTGATTCATGCGGGGAGATGTAGACGGACTGGTAGGGGTCCCCGAAACGATATGAACCAGTAGTTGAAAACGCTTGGTGACAGTGACAAAAATCCGTCACAATAGTACAGATTTGTTCCGCCTTCGGCATCTTCTAGTGCTTGAATATTCCCACTGATCTTCACCTTCAAATTTTTCATCCTCTCAAACTACGTTATCCACTTCGATATCGGTCTCATTCCATCCACCTGTTTTCTGTGTGCTCCTGTGAGGTGTATCAGCTTGAGCCGATGCACCTATGTGATGGGTCCTATTTCGATTTTGTCAGTTAGGGGGATGTCTACGATATTTCTCGACCTGAGAGCGGTAGTCAACTCTATTGACTACGAGGTTTCGTGGCAGTGTACAACTGGGAAGGGAATACCAATCAAGTGTGCCACGTTAATCAGTGATAATAATACTTCATGACTGGTCTGAGACTACTCTCAGTCTAATCATTGGGAGTGAAGTGGCAGAACGGTGTGACCGGTTTACATCGGTCTTAATGGTTTGGTTGCCACTGAAGCATCAGCTTGGATAGAAAAGACCCGTTAGGCATTTGCTACCTTGCATCAACTCTGATGTCGCCTATCCAAAAACGCAACTTTTTATTAAACGACGAGCATACTGTGGTGCGATTCGCCCTGTCTTATTGTGCTGTGTCAGAAATGGCCTTTGAAAGTAGAAGATATGAAGAGATTGCGGGCGATTAAGCTTTTTTTGTCCGGGTAAGCCATCGAAAATGCAGCCACCTGTGTATTCATGAGCTTAGGGTTTCTTTGAGTATTTTATGGACACATCCTACTCAACAGTGTTAGCCCTTCTATAAGAACTGACCAAGATTTGGAATAAGCCACTATCCTTTATCTCCAGGTAGTTGTTAGAAGTGGAAGAAAGTAAAATACATAAAGTAGGGGACTCTTGGAATTCCATCAGTGGTTAAGTTTCCGCAGTTTTCTAAGACCAAAAACTGGTCACTTTCTGCTTTGGCTCAGCATCCAATAAGTAAAAACAATATGATCCGTACGGTGCAACTTGAATACCTACTGCAGATAATTCCAACGCTTGGGCGCTTCCTCGAAAATCCTCAAACAACTGGGATGGAGGTACAGATCTTGCTGAAATGGCTCATCCTCAAAAAGCAGACCCCAGGATGAACCACGAGTAGTCGGTCCCAGCCCCCAAACAGAAACTACACTCAGTTTTTTCTCGTGAAGATACAACTTTACGCTACGTGTCCGCTGGTCAGCCACACCCAGAAGTAGCCAAACATTTCCGAACCAATTTCTTCAATGTATCACACAATCTATCTCATCCGGGTAGGCTAATGATCAGGCCTACGGAACAACGCCTTGTTAATCCGGGGTAAACAATGGCGTTGAAGAATGGGCTCAGTGATGCGACGTTTGTCAAAAGTGCACAATCACTGGGTATCCTAGAAGTCTTTAAGGATTATTTCTAGCACTGTATGCTGTTTTCGTCCAAGCTCATGCATTCGTTGTACGATCCCACCCAAATCCAAATGATCCACTCGTATTTCACCCGTGTGAACTCTTTCATCAGATGGCTGAAAGCCGTACTTGTTTACGGTGTTCTTGGAAACTATGGCTCGTGTTTTGTTGAACGATGAATAAAGAGATTTGGATGTACCCACTGCATAACGACCGGTCTCGTGGACTTATTCCAGCGTTCATTATTTTATGCTTCTATTGGACGCTCAGACTGCCCACACTTCAAAAACGACAAAGTATCAACTACAACGGAATCGTGTTGAAGAACATTCCTATGGACGGCTGAACGCATGCTTCAGTGAACTGAGGAACTACACCTAGTTTTAGTGGGTTTCCGAGAAGTGTTGGCAGCCGACGCTGGACGCGCTTCCGCCGAACTGTCTAGGCAACTACTTTGTAAATACGGGGTGAATTGGTCTTAACGTTAAGATCCTTTTTTGCGAGTATATCTTTCGCCATCAGTTTGCAAGCGCAGTGACACCGGTTTTCCGTAAAATCTTGTCGAGGTGCAGCAAGTTTCTGTTTGAGTAAGAGGAGTAGTAAAGCGAAAACCAGCGAGATTAGAGGGCTGAGGCCAACCTTACATCTTATTAACTTATGATCGCTTGCAGAAGCACCATAGAGTAACCCATGACAACCAGAAGTAGTTCCACGAAGTAAACACATCGGAAGAGCTTTACTGATGGCACAAAACTAGGCTTTTGTTTTTGTAGGCACCATCTAAGAGTCCACAGAAAGCCAACAGAGGGAGGTAACTGTTGTGGCAAATAATCCTTCGAGGCCAAAAGCATTAGGTCCTACGATA